ACTCAATTCTCCATCAGGATTACAAAACAAATACTTTTGATCCTTACTATAGCTATAGTTTCACAACTATTTTGTTATTTATAGCTCCATAGTATCAATTCACAATAATCTTGCTTAATATTGTATTACAACTTTTCTCGCATTTTTTAAATCATTTCTCCTTATTTAGATGTTAGATGATAAAGGAAATACTGCGGTATATCTCTTATATGCTTACACGAGAATTCGGTACGTCACTATTCCTTTTTTAATCCAGAAAATGACCTTTATTATTTTCTGTAAAGCCTTGTTTATTTCATATACTGGTATATTTTAAAATTGAATAAATTTCAAGCCCACTATTTTTCCATTATATTTTGCAAATAAAGCTTTCTATGTTTCATAAAGTTTTAAATTGTAATTAGAAGGTGAAACTAGGTTTCGTTGAATCTACGGAGATAACATTGTTGGAGGGACTTGCATTTCGTATGAAAGTACATAAAGAAGAGATTCGTAGGTCGATTTCACCAGAAGAGGACAGATGAATCCCGTTGTACTGCAGCTGCTTGGATTTTATACGACGTTCAGGTTGACGCAGTCCATGAGACCCCTCGTTTCGGGTGAAAACAGGCTGTGTTTTCGTCCATCGTATGATGGGGCTGGGTCTCATTCTTATAAAAGTTTCGCGTTAACACGAGGACAAGAAGACTATCTAGCTCTATCTTGTCCCTCATATAGACTAAATTAAGCAAAATAAAATAAAAAAACTAATTAGATATAGAGTGGTTTGGCTAATTATCTTTCATACTGCTCCTGCTACTTTTGCTCGAGTGTGTGCATGTGTGTATTAGCGTCTATACGCAATACCGGTCCTACATCAGAGAGGGATAATGTCAGGCTCTGATCATCAAGGCCTAATGACCCAAGAGAAAGCCATGACCGAGTCTGCATACGTCCGTAAGCAAGTATGGTTAAGATAATAAGATGTAGACCTGTAAGCTTGTAGGTCAAGTTACGAAGCCACTTGTCCTAACCTTTGAATCTAGGGCCATTAACGTTTAATAACCCGAGGAAAGAAACGACTAGGGCTGCATAATCAGGCACGTCTGGCTTAATAGATGGGCTTAATCTAACATGTTTTGACGAGTGTGAGTGAAGCTAGAACCATCACCGAGCAAACCATTTGAGTCGCCTTCTTTTGGATGGCGGCTCAACACCCTCCCTCTCCTTCAATCTATCAATCAAGCATAAGTAGTTCCTACTTAACCTTCTACCACCGTTCCTCACATTCAACGTATTTCCTAAGCTATTAATTTCAATAGCCTCTCTTATCTTTCTATAACCAGAGATGTACCATTATCAGCAAATCTACTAGTTTGAGATCATTATATTTTATGTTCAGTTTCTACCATGTGTTCGGCCACTTCTGCCCGTTGGACCCAGCTTCCTTTACAAGCATTTTTGTATTCCTCCAATCTTTATCGAATAAGCAGCATGTCTCACCAACATAACATCGATCACATAAGCAAACAATTTTGTATCAGCCGGATCTCAATAATGGGTCATATTAATCTCTAAAAGATGGCATAACAGAAGAAAGTGTGAGGGTTTCTTTGAACGCTGATTTTATCCCCCACTTTCTTACTATTTCGCTTTTTTTAAAGAAAGCATGATGGCAAAATTAGGACATGGAAAAAGGTATCGACCCGTCTATCTTTGACTAACTGGTCTACTGAAAATGTATTTTTCAGTAAAGAGATTTTATTTTCAATAATGCCAAAAGGATAATTTTTTCCAGTCCTAAATTTTTTAGCTGTTCTAACTAGTTAAATGTCTGCTATCCGCTAGCCTCATACTCCTAATAATCATTGGCTTCATAATTCCAACCTTAGTTTTATAACTATGGTTGGAAAGAAAATTAATCAGAGCCAACATATGTTGGCTTCCTATAACCATATCTTGCCAAATTAATCTCTTCTCTAATAATGAGAACGTCAAGAAAGGGTAATGGCTTCTCTTCCATTTCCATTGTGAATCTAATAATCCTTTTACGATGATTGAGTGAAAGTATGAAACTATCTCAACTTTCCTTACCATGTGGCCAGATGACAAATTTGGCCATTTATATATAATTAACCAACAATTTGGGGGTTGGTATTGCATCTTCCAGGAAGTGTTTCTCCAGTCTTGCCATATAATTGTTCGCTAAGCCAGGCCAGATCCCATCGCTAGTGTTTATTCACCCGAAACGAAGGTCTCGTGGACTTCATCAACCTGAACGCCAAACGGCTGCAGTAAAATAAGCTTCAGCCGTCCTCTTCTGGTAAGATCGACCCACGAATCTCTTCTTAGTGCATTTTCATACAAAATGAAAGTCCCCCCCCAGCAATAGTAATTAAAAGCCTGATACTTTTACCTTATGACACTTCATTTACATAGTAGATGAATTTTTATCTGGGAGCATCATGCTGAAATGAATGCGCCTTTTTTATTATTCATACATAATTTTTCATATCTCATCCTTTGCTAGGTCAATATCTCGCAATGCTGGGTTTTCTCACGAGGAGATGAAAGATATGGCAGTCAATGAACCTCTTCGTCTGGATCATCCCAAGGAGTTTGCTCTTGGGCGGGCGCTCTGTAGGCTGCCTGAAGTCCTTCTCAAGGCACAAGAAGATCTTATGCTACATACTATCTGTGATTACCTCTACGGTTTGTGTGGCCTATTCACGGACTTCTATGATACCTGTTACTGCATAGAAAAAAATCCACAGACGGGTTAGTGCCTCATCGAATTTCAAGTTTACCTTTGGTTATTAAATGAATCCTGGTAATCCCTCAAAATTCACTTTCTGGAGCTTAGCTATCTGCTTAAATTTAAGTAGTCTTAAATGGCCTAGTTTTATGTTTCACCAATTTTTTTAACGATTTATTATCTAAGGCGTGATGAAGTCAAATATTAATATGCATATTATGTCATTAGAATTTTCAGTTTGAAAAGAAATTTGGATGAAAAGGTTTCGTACCTTAACATCACCGCTAGCTTAAGGATTGTCCTGGAGATGTAACTGCTGATTTGTGTGACACTTTGGGCTCACCATACTACGATACCAATAAATCTGCCTCATCGGCAGTCTCACCAAATGAAGTGATATGGAAAAGATCTTACTCGTAGAAATCCACATTTGCCATTTGACTCGAAAGAACTCACGAGTGTGTGGCGTACTGATTAGTGTCATGACTATGCACTGCACTACACGGGTTAAAGTTAATTATAAGTGCAACTACATCTTAAAACATTTTCTTGCTCATTCATGTTAATTCTGTCATGCGATATCAGCTTGTTGTGGATTATCTTACGATAAGAATAACTTTATTTTGCAATTCTCTCGTAGTGTAAGATTCATTTGTTAGTCGCTCATTGCCGAAGTCATTTATATTGGTTCTAATAGAGGCCTTCGAGAAGTCGGTCCACCTCTTTTGATGAAATATTTTCTGCTTACGGTTTATATTGTTGTTTAATCTTAGGTATACAGAACAAGATGGCGCGGCCTTTTAATATGTCGCGGTATCCTTTAGTTGTATATAGGTTGCTTTGTTAGAGTTAGAGGAAGGCATGATAATGGCATGATAATTTCCAGGGTCAAAACGTGGATTTGGTACATTCCAAGACTTTTCGCCGGCATCATCAGTGAATCTTTCTATTCTTACCACCACATTACAACTCATCAAAGACAAATGAAGTCAGTCCCTTGACAAATTGTCCTCTAAGTTGTAGTATCTCTTCTATCCAGGTGTATTCACTTATCCTATATCCTCGTAACGACTCTTCATTAACACAATTTATTGTTTATTTAAACATAGTTAAGGCGGATTTCGTGAGTCCTATTTACATTTTGTGCTGCTTAGCTCATCCTCCCCCCACTGTTTGCGGAGTGTTGATCCATGTCTATTATTTTAGTCCGCAATCCTCGTCCTCTAGGTCTTATCAAAGTCTTTCTCTTGCTCCGTAGGATCTCTGGTTCAGTGATTTAACTCAATAATTGCCTATATATATATATGATAACAAGTATACAACCGCCTCACTAAACAAGCCCCCAAAGGCCGTATTCTCAAGCTGCATGGAAAACTAACTTACAGCTGTATATTCCTTTATCACTCATCCGCATGTGAACCGAATAAATCTTGTAGTCAAGTCTTTACTCCACGGGCCACGTCAATGATCAAACTCATCTGCTTTCTTATTGCGGAGTCATCTCTCGCTCTTTATGCCATAGTGACAATGTGTATTTAGAAGTAGGTTGACCTCGTCGCAACTTAGTCTTGTTCTCAGGGGGACTATGTAGAACGCACCTAGTCCGAATTCGTCTGCCATAGTAGTTTTCATGATTCCCATTATCTGACAGTCGACTTGATAAATTCTCAAACGTTTCGCCGACTATGATGTAGTTGCTTATTCCTTTAAGCCATTTGAAGATTAGCCCATAACGTTCCGTTTTATGAGAAGCCGGCTTTTTGTG